CTAGACTTTATTTTCGGTTCCAGTGCCATCTGGCACCGGCATAGCGCCGAAGAGCTGAGTCTGTGCATACTAACGAATTCGAACGAAAAAACAGAAAAGTAGGATTGTTCAGTTTATCGTGAATGTTTTTGTTAGGACCAATTATTTAGACAAACATGGATCCAAAAAATGAAAAATTGTAGAAAAGCAAAATTTTGTCCTCGGTGGGATCCGAACCATCGACCTATTTTTTACGTTTTTTTTATTCGTAGAAGCGCGCAGCGAAAATGAACCTCAGTTTTCTGGTCCTCGTATGTGCCCCTACAATATGCACAAGACCATTTTGAAAAAGCTCACCACGCCCTGAACGACCTCCCTTGTTAGAGTAGACGTAAATAGAGGCAGTTGTCGAAGGTGCTAATTTTCGCCGACTTCACTTTCAACTTCAACGACTAAAAAATTCACAAAAATTATTCCCTCAACCGAAGCTGTTTTGATATTCTTATACTACGAGAAGTTTCCTATCAGATGATATCAAGCTTGCTTGCAAAACATTTCACTTTTGGAACAAAATTTTCAATTGAAAAAAACGCCATTACTTATGTGCCAACCCAATACTTTGCCTGAAACAGGGATTTTAGGGAAATCAGGAATCGAAAACCTTAATTATATGACGCACTTGCTCAGTGGCAGTTTTTTTCACTTCTAAACTTTCAACAACTTTAAGAATGAGTAATAGGGTAGTGTTAAAAAATGGATATCCAAGTAGCCCAAACGGTACGTCATGAATAGTATGGCTTTATGGCCCAAACCACCTCCCCTCCATCAAATATGAGCGTGTACTCGGAAATGCACTTATTGAATGAACTGAATTAGTTCCGTTCCTCCTTATGAAGTGCCCTTGGCAAAAACAGCAGGCCGGCGAAGCCGCTCTGAACAGAAGGAGAGCTCGGCGTCAGCCAGGCGATCGGCAATAGTACATACATGCCTGCACACTCTCATAGTGGTTTATTCACGGCAGGATCCTCCTCGGCATCCTTCGTACAATTGTTTGATCAGGAGTAAGTAAAACCACAAAAAATTTCACACCTGGACTTCAACGTTTGAACAGCTCCGGTTTCAACAAGCTTTCCGTGGCAAAGAATACCTATGCGGGTGCAGAGCGCTTCGCATTCTTCCATCGAATGTGAGGATAGCAGCACTGCTCTGTCTCTCTTCTGTTGTTCACTCAAATAGTCCCAAAGAAAGTGTCGAGCCTGTTAAATTTTCGGACTGATATAAGATAAACAAATCAAAAAAATACGACCACGTCATCGTTAGTCACTTTGCCTTGCTTTTTTTTCGCTTCCACTCCATTAAAGAAGCTTCAAACCTATTTCAATCAACCTGCTTTACCTCGACAACAGTTTGTAATGGTGCTCCTTCGGCCAGCTTTCGCATGATTTGGCGATGTTGCGCGCGGCAACAAGTCAGGTCGTGAAGCCTACTCTTTTCTTGTAAGGCTTTATTCCTTGTTGTAGAGGTGCGTGTGACGACCCCAAGAGCTATTATTCATTTCCGCTGCGCGCTTCTGGGAGTGCCGAGAAGAGAAAGGAAGAGAAAGTCTTACGAGTCCTTAACGTCAGCTGTAGAAAGCCCTTCTCTTTCTGGGCCCGAAGTTAGGAAAGTCTTTGGATAGCCTTTGTTCAGACAAAAATTTCCGACTCAAACACCAGAAAATGGAAATTGCAGAGACGAAAAATCCTATCACTCAGAGGATTCAAACTATTAGTCTACTGATCACATTTTCTTTGGCCTTCCCAGAGGCGGCAGTGGAAATGAGCTGCACTTTTATGTTCCTCACTATGAATACGACTTATGTTTATCTCGCATGAGTCTACCCCTGTGAGGTATATGAATCTATTTGAACCTACTTGCCCCGCAGGTAGCAGTTTTTGAACTCCCCTTCCATTGATTTTTAGAAGTGAAGGAAATGCTCTAGAGCGGCGTCATGTACGTGTGCTAGAGCTGATACCGAGCAAACCAGACCTTTGGATCAATGCCAGCTGTGGGTTCATCGAGTAGAAGAAGGATTCGAGTTACTCAATATAGCCACGCCAACGCTTATTCGACGTTTCTGTCCACCACTAGAACACAAATTTCGACATTAAAAAGAGGGAAACAGAAAAAAAAAACAGGAAAACGACCCCATTTTCGGAAGCAACCTTAGCCTACTGAAGCTTTTTCGACAGTGACCAGTCATGCGCAATTGTTGCAAAACCTCCTTCACCACCTTTCTGGGATTTGTATATCCTAAAGAGCCATGACTTCAGCACGGATATAGTTGTTGCTCGAAACACGCTTCCGTCTACCTGTCATTCCTGCTATGATCATCATATTTTGATAGGAGGAAAGAGTATCAGCCAGCGAATCGAATTGGGGACAGAATCCGATCTTCTGAAAAGTTGATTAATTGTATATGAACCGCCAATTGTGTTTTGGTTTGCTTGCTGGCTGCTTTGACCGGAAAGTCGGCCCCATCTTAGTGGTCATTTCAAGTGGATGAGGTACGAATTTTTGCGAGGTGCACAGAATACCTGTAGTGCAAGCAGAATCTGTTCACCGCAGGACAAGGAAATGTGGTGGATTTGGGAAGCGGCGGGCAGATGGTTGTGTCGCGGTTGGACTCAGGGTACAGCATCGTTGTGCGAAACCCATGGGGGGTCGTACTTGGCCGCTGGGGAGGGGGGGGTCGTAATCTCAAGGGTCACTCAGAGCCGAGCAATGGTTCGACATTTCAGTTGATAGTGGGAGTGGAGCTATGGAAGTCAAGATGTTTAAAAAAATGAAGTTTATTATGAGTGTATTCTTTACAGCTTTAAATGCTACGTTTAACAGCCCTCTTTTCATGGGAAATCCCCAAGAATGGGTTCGTACTTGGCCGCGGGGACGTGGGGAGTATCGCAAAAGTAGGCTCGCTAGGCATCAAACAGTACAAAGGTGTCATTGCTAAGGGTAATGGAACGGACGGAAAGCTTCAGAACGGATGTAAACTAGGACATACGAAAATAATAAAAAGATTTCACATTAGCACGTGTTAGCAAGAAGTAGAATAAATAGAATACAGTATAGGTTAAGTGTTGCAGTTGTGTAGGTTATGTAGTGTAATGTGTAGTTGGTAGGTAGGTGACTTAATATGATAGGTATGGGCGTCCTGAAAACAGATTCTGGGGTTGGTGTCGTTGTGTTGGTCCTTTACAAACCCGCTAAACAGAACATCTGCTTGCTCGATAAAAAGTCAGCGTGGAATGGATCGGAAGATTTCACGACGTCGGTCCATCCACGGTCCCGGGACGAATCTAAACGGCGGCCACGGAACCAATCGATCAGAGACTAGCCAGATGCTTCCTCCTTTCACTCATTTGAAGAGGAAATATTTTGGCGTACACATCTTCTCTTAGCCTCTAATAATACCAAGGCACCATAACCGAGTCAATTTTTTTCAGGTGGGTCAGAAGTTCTCCTTGGTCGGTGCGGATGTCGCAATCGTGACCCCACCTCTAAACATATGCTCCGGCTGAATCCAGCTGGGTCTCCAGACAAAAACTGTAAAGCCATATATGGGCAAAGACAAAAGATGAGAGGGGTTCAAGAACGGATGTTGTGTGGTCGCTCAGTTCTTTGTGGCTTGTTGTATTGGAAAAACTGCAACACGCGCGTCTTGAAACGAAAACGAGTCCTTGTGGGGGTGCCGTGGTGAATTCTATGAAAACCAGTCGCGATTCCACCCTGGCCGAACCACGATAGCCCTCCGCGAATTATTTCTCACCATATCGTGTGTGGGGTATGTTCAGTTTGCCAGCTAAGGTAGAATACCCATAATAAGTAGAAAGATTTTGCCGTTGCAGTGAGTGTGTGCTCGAGTGTCTCTCGTGGCGATAAAAAAGCTCCGCACCTAGAAAAAGCACTATAAACCCCCCCCCCCCGAAATAGTGATCCGTAGGGACGTTGGCAAGGTCCAACAACCGCGCTCCAATGACGTTTCCAAAGAAAGCGGTCGCAGCCTTGCGCCCTGCAGCCTGATCGATAATAGCCAAGTATGGAACGATTTACTGCCGGCCTAGTTATCCTTTTTTCATTTAGCTCCGCATTTTTTGTATTTTCCCATGTTTCGCTTCTTGATTCTGTGTCGTGCATCGTTTTTCATTCATTTCCCCGGTCACGATTCACCTTAGAATAGCACTCTGCGCGCCTGACACCACTCTTCACCTCTGCGAAGCTATTTTGTTCACCAATTCAGCCACGTATCACATGATTCACCATTAGCCGCCTATTCATTTGGTTTCTTGTTGACAAGCCTGCCATTGTCATACATTTAGTTACCATCCGACACGAGGGAGTTCTTATTTTGAATCCCTAAGCACAAAACTGTTAGGAAAATTGCGCCAGGCTGGCGACTGTAGGTGTGCGAGGCTGTTGTTCAGCCTCATATTGCATGAGGCTGAAACAGCCTTTTATTTGCCTGTATTTTAGAGCAGAGTGCGCCTTTCGAGAATCCAGATTCCATTTCAGGAAGCCATTTGTGGTGAACATGCATCTGGTTGTCAGTTAGAGCAGGAGGGGGGGGGTCGTATCTGGACCCTCTTCGAGGGGGGGGTCGTACCCACACCGCCATTTGACACATCCCCATGCTGTACCCTGGTTGGACTACGCGGCTTGACGCGCGGCTACTGCAAACACCGTACTACGGTCTGCGCGCTCGCGACGGTGATTTCGCTACTATTTTTTAACAAAGCAGACTTTCGTAGATCAACAAAAGGATAAGTCGCTGATGGTATGTTGCGCAGAAAGCATGGAGTCAGCATGGCTATGGGTCAGCAGGTAAGCTTGAACGCACCGTCCGCGATAAGGCATAGAACTTAAAAAACTCGCCGGGAGAGTGGTGTGGTGAGCGTCGAACAAAGTGGTACCGGTTTCGCGGGAAAAAAATTGTAAGGAAGGGGCGCTGTAGCGCAGTATAGGGTCAGTGACGGCTTCTTTTTTTCCCAGAGACTCCGCCTCCAAACTTCGCCTTCAAAGCATGCCTTTCAGTGAAAAACGAAGAGGCAGGATGAAAAAGCATGAGAACCGTCATTTGTACTGTCTTAGAGTTCATAACAGGGAAACAATCCTCCAATCCACTATCCTTGATGACGAATCATCGCGAGCTTTGCCTTCAATTGACCCGCAATTAGTATCTGTACAAGTTTGTGTGCATAACTGCTATTTAATCGCACGGGTGTATTTGGCATTTTTAGGCCACTCCTTTACCTTTCGTCCTCTTCAGGAAATGTGTCTGTTGGGGCGTACGTCCAGCTCCTTGTTTTTTTTTCTGATTGCGAAAAAAAATTGGGACAATCCAAAGTCGCGCCCTTTTCATTGATTTCGTTTCGTTGTTTTCAGTTTTTCACGAAATTCTAGTGTTCTCAAATTGAGTAGGTCTGAAAAGCACCTAAAAAAAGTCCTAACCTACACCCACCAGCTACTGGTAACTTTTAATA